TGTTCGTAACCACTTGGACTGAACGTTCTTGTGTTAGACTAACTAATTATTTAGTTCCATTAAGGGTATATCACAAGCACCCAGAATTTCGCCAAAAGCGCAAATACGAATCATGCAAGAAAACCTTATTTGATGTGCAGAAAGGTCAGCAGCCTTCCCTTCAGTCCGAAAATTATTGTACAATTGGAAATAATGCATTGCACGTTTTTGAGACATAACTTTGAGGCTAAAGTATAGATTTATACTTGTTACAATGATTGCTCTTGACCAAAGGAATCTATTTTAAGACTTTTAACTTTTTTTAAAATAAGTACTCCAATACTTAGTGGCTGTTCAAGGAAATTCTGCAGTGGTTTATGAAATTATGTCATAAACCTAGTGAAACAGATTTTCATATTTTAGTTTCTTGTAAGAATGAGTAACGTACTTTCGTCCCCACTTGGCACACCAGTGCAATAGTCAAGCTGTTATTTTTTTTGTTGAGGTGTCTCTCTTTAGAAAAGCGCACGATTACTATATCATATTGTGTTGAATGCTGTGGTATTACGTTTGTAGGACTTGGATGATTTGTCAGTTGTCTCTTTTCGACAAAGTGTATTACGCATTAAAACATGACTAACTTAGCAAGGCATACGATCGGCCGTTGTTGCAGTTCGATAAGAGAATTGATGTGACATCATAGAAGCTTTAAAAAATGCATTTAGAAAATATAGAAAATAGTGTAATGATGTAAAGGATAGACAACAATCAGTAGTTTAGATACTCTTCTTCTTTTGTGTGATCTACTATAATCCCATCAAATACCCAACTGGAGAAGATTATCCAGTTTGGGCCAATGCGTTTGGCTTCTTCCTTTCATCGTGTTCAATGATCGTTATACCCGGCTATGCCCTGTATTACCTATTGTTTACCAATAAACATATGACAATTAAAGAGGTACGTCAAAACTAAGTGCTGTTGAACTTATCATTTCTTAATGTGCAACAACATTTCTACGGTTTTTCAGAGGTTTATGAAAGGG